GATGTTACATGTTTTGCTTGTGGTATTACTGGCCACAAAAAGTGCTTCTGTCATACTCTTACTAGTTAGGTGACGAGGAATCAAGCTTCTGTTCAACAACCAGCAACAAGTCAAGCTCTTGTTCAAAAATCAAAGAGTACCCCAACTAAAAAAGAGGAGGCGCCAAAAGCTAAGGATCGTGCATTCCAGCTTACCACACAAAAGGCACGTGAGGACCTGAATGTTGTGATGGGTACATTTCTTGTCAACTCTAGACCTGCTCACATCTTATTTGATTCTAGTGTCTCAGATTCTTTTGTGTCTCATGAATTTGTGCATTCCTTTCATATTTCTTGCTAACCTGATTCCTATCTCCTTTCCCAACTTTGATATTATTCTTGGCATGGATTGGTTGTCAAAGAACCATTCATAACTCTTCTGCTATGAAAAGATAGTATGTATTCCTATTAAATGGGAGAATCCTATTTATGTCTACGGTGAACAAAGAAACTTAAAAATAATATATTTCCTAAAAGCTCGTAAATTCATATTGAATGGGTGTTCTATCTATCTAGCTTACACCGTCGATACCTCAAAAGAGGAGAAGAAAACTATAAATGATGTTCCCGTTACTAAAGAATATCCTGATGCTTTCCCCGATGATTTTCTTGGACTTCCTCCGGACAGGAAATTAGAATTCCGAATTGACCTTGTGCCTGGTGCTGCTCCAATTGCAACGACTCATTATCGTCTTGCACCTACTGAGATGATGGAAATGATGATCTAACTGCAAGAATTACTTGAAAAAGGCTTTATTCGACAGAGTACCTCTCCTTAAGGTGCTCATGTGTTGTTTTTTAAGAAGGAAAGATTGATGCGAATGTGTATTGATTACTGTGAGCTAAATAAAGTGACTATCAAGAACAAGTATCCATTACCTCGCATTGACGATTTATTTGATCAACTTCAGGGTGTTAGCTATTTCTCGAAGACTGATTTGAGATCTCGCTATCATCAGTTGAAAGTACACGAGCATGATGTACCGAAGACTGCCTTTCGTACTCGATATGGGCATTATGAATTCCTTGTCATGCCATTCGGTTTGAAAAATGCCCCTGCCATATTCATGGATATGATGAATCGGGTATGTCGTCCAATGCTTGATAAATCTGTCATTGCATTCATTGATGATATTTTAATCTATTCCAAGTATGAATCTAATCATGTCATTCATATTCGTGAAATATTAGAACTTCTTCGAAAGAATAAACTATATGCTAAATTCTCGAAATGTGAATTTTGGCTTCGCCAAGTTTAATTTCTCGGCCATGTGATTTCTGATGATGGTATATCCGTAGATCCTACCAAAATCGAAACCATTCAGAATTGGGAAGCACCTTGTAATGCTTCTAAAATTCATAGTTCCTTGGGTGTCGCGGGATATTACCGAAGGTTCATTAAAGACTTTTCTCGTATAGTTGTACCTCTCACTAGTCTTACACGAAAGGAAGTAAAGTTCGAATGGGGTGAAACCCAAGAAAAAGCTTTCTCGACTTTAAAAGATCTTTTAACTCATGCTCCCATCTTATCACTTCCAGAAGGTGATAATGATTTTTCCGTGTATAGCGATGCTTCTAGGTTGGGAACTCAGTTGTGTGTTGATGCAACGTGGTAAAGTAATAGCATATGCCTCAAGACAACTGAAATAGTATGAAATGAATTATCCCACCCATGACCTCAAACTCATTGCATTGGTATTTTCCCTACAACTTTGGAGATATTATCTATTTGGTACAATATGACAATTGTTTACCGACCACAAAATTCTCAAGTATATATTCAGTCAGCAAACTCTGAATATGGGACAACAACAAGCTATGAAGCTGATCAAAGATTATGACTGTAAAATCTTGTATCATCCTAGAAAGGCCAATGTAGTTGTTGATGCTCTTAGCAGAAAAGTTTATCGTAATAGTATGCGTTATACTATTACTCACACTACAGTATTACTTACACTATAGTAAAGTTCACTATTCTTGATGAACTAGAGAAATGGCAAGAAGAGGCTTTAAAGCCAGAAAATGTGAAGAAATAATGGATGATACATTATATTGATGTTTTACTTGATGATCCACAAGGATTGAAGGTATTTAAGAATCGATTATGGATTCCAAAGCTTGGCGGATTAAGACAAAAGATTTTAGATGAAACTCATAAGTCTAAGTTGTCAATACATCCTGGTACAAGTAAAATGTACTATGATGTACATGCTGATTATTGGTGGCCTGGATTAAAGAGAGACATTAGAAGATATGTGCAGGAATGCTTAGTATGCTTACAAGTCAAAACAGAGCACCAAAAGCCTTACGAAACTCCAGAAAGTCTTAGTGTTCCCATGTGGAAATGGGAAGAATTGTCCATGGATTTTATTACCAAATTGCCAAAGACCGCTAAACAGCACGATAACATTTGGGTAATTGTCAACCGCCTGACTAAGAGTGCACATTTTCTCACAATGCGTGAAACGACTCCAATGGAGAAATACGCATAAGTTTACTTGGATGAAATTGTTGCGAGACATGGCGTGCCACTAAAGATTATTTCCGATTGTGATACTCGCTTCACTTCTCACGTTTTGGTGAGTATGCAACGTGAATTGGGATCTCGAGTTGCTCTCAGCACAACTTGTCATCCCAAAACAGATGATCAGACGGAGAAAACGATCCAAACAGTGGAACATATGCTTCGTGCATGCGTCTTGGAGTTTGGTGGTAACTAGGATAAGTAGTTACCTTTTGTTGAATTTTCATATAATAACAGTTACCATGCTTCAATCAAAATGTCACCATATGAAGCACTATATGGTCGGAAATTTCGTACTCCATTATGCTGGCGTGATATAGGACAGAAAATCCTTTGAGGCTCTGAAATGATTCAAGACACCACCAACAAGATTTAAATCGTACAAGAAAGAATGAAAGCGGCCCAGGATCGACAGCAGTCCTATGCAGAAAAGAGGAGACGACCCATAGAATTTCAGGTGGGTGATTTCGTAATGTTGAAGGTATCCCCGTGGAAAGGCATTATGCGATTTGAGAAGAAAGGAAAACTAAGTCGTAGATTTGTTGGTCCTTTCAAAATCATCCAGAGAATTGGTAAGCAAGCATACCGTTTGGAATTGCCGAAAGATTTGACAAGGATTCATGATGTGTTTCATGTGAGTTATCTGTATAAATGTTTAAGCATATATAATGAAGCAGTTCTGTTATCCGAAATGAAACTGGATAATAAGTTAACTTATGTAGAAGAGTCTGAAGAGATCATAAACGAAAGAACGACTAATCTATGTAATAAAGAAGTGGAGTTGGTGCTTGTTAAGTGGAAACACCATCGATACCCAAATTATACTTGAGAAAATAAGAATGAGATAAAACCAAAATATTCCCATTTGTTTTAATCGATGTAATTTCAAGGACGAAATCATCAAAAGAATGAGGTATTTGTAACATATACGTTGTAAAATCGTGTTTTATAATGAATAATATTATGAAATATTATGTGATTTTGAGTATTGAGTTCTAACATATGGTTTTTACTTGAATTAAAGTAAACTTATGTTTAAAATCACTTGGAAAATATTGAAAGTTTTATGAGATCCCAATCTAATATCAAAATTTAACAAAAATATAAAATTTGAAATAAATAAAATTTTAAATAGCGGTGACGCCTTTAGTGGCGACATATAGTATTAGCGGCGACACACCTATTAGTGACGAACCAACAACAGCAATCCTTTAGCGACGATATGTCACCGTTAATACTTTTAGCGGAGCTATGTTAATCCTACCAACACCTTGTGTATGCATTATAGTCTTAAAAAAAGAAGGAAATAATCTTCACATGAAAGAAAAGTCATCGACTAAAGTAAAGTCCTTTAAAAAAAACATTTCGTTGTTGGGACAATTGGTTAATAATTTAAATAAACTTGCCTGCTAACACAAACCTACTAATTAAACAAGTCTAATATTTAACCAAAATCTCATTTAACGCTAGTCTTTTTATATTCTAATAATTATAATCCCCACTAGTTAGATAATAAAATATTTTGTTAAATTGTTGTTTAGAAAAATGTGTCGTTTACTATATAATCTTTTCGAAAAATATTTGGTTGTATTAAATATTTTATGTTAAATATGAGGTTAATACCATTGAATAATAAGTAATTTTTTGGATTTGTCATATAGATAGCTCAAAGTTACCTAAAAGATATTTTTTCATTTAAGTTTTGTTTGTCTTTCCCTCATGCGACATGTTTATTTTTTTAAATGTGTGACTATTGACTTGATGATGATATCACCTAACAAAAATATATGAAAATATTTGTAGAAAGAATAACTACAAACATATTTCATTTTTGTGTTAATTGTACCTTTGAATAAATTGCATTTTTTGTAGGAAACACAATCCAAATGGGACTTAAATTACACGCATGGTGGACCTTAAAAGGGTACAAATGACCCAAAAATGTGTCACTATATTTACTATGTGTATTTACGTACGCATGTATTTAGGGCGTGTTATAATCTTTAGTGTTTTAAAAAATATATACATTTTTTATAAATTTAAGAATTTGCAAATTAAATGACAATTAATATCTCATAATACAAAACAAAAGACATATATAAAAATTAAAAAATAATCAATTTCATATAATAAATGTAATCACATTCAATAATTTTATTATATAAAATTATCATGTATACAAAAATCGTTATTACCTCATAAATATAACAAATAATTAATCGAACATTAGAAGAAATAAATACATAAAGAGTTAGCAATTTACAAAATTACTTTACGCATATCTTTCACGAATCCATGTAAATGTTCTTCTATCAAAAGCCTCATCTACCCACTATTGAATCCTTTTTCACAATAAAAAATTCCTTACGGTCCAAGTAGTTTTCTATATATATATATAGCCCTCGCTTACATATAATACCCAAGTCATTTACAAATCTTATAGAAATTTCATAATATCTTTGCATCATGCGATCGACAATGGTGTGTTTGCTGTTTCCGGTTGGAATCCTACTAGTTTTTCTCTCCTTCTGTTTGTCAACAACATCAGCCGCAATAGTGGAGACTTCATTTCATGTACCCACTTCCTTCCTTCCTTCCTTCCTTGTATATTTTACTTCCACTGTCGTGTTTCTTACACCAGAAAGAAAACATGAGTCGGTGATCAGTGGAAATATAATTGCCATTTCATTGATTGATCTAACCCTCTTCCTCTAGCTAATAGTTGTTTAGATAACGATAGATTAATCTATCACATGTATTTCATTGTCGGCTTGTTGGTCTATTATTAAATGATGTACAAAATTGACAAGTTGTAATTTTCTTGAAACTCACATGGTTTTTTTTTTAAATAACTTTATTGGTGTAGGCAAAAAATCTAACGACGAGTCGATTATGTCAAAATCATGTAATCGTGGCAGTAAATGGAAGCCTTCCAGGGCCGACTCTAAGGGTACAGGAGGGTGACACTCTTATTGTTCATGTCTTCAATGAATCTCCATACAACCTTACTATCCACTGGTAACTAATATTTATTTTTATGGAATGTTTTGAATGCAAAAATGATATACTCGATTGAGTGAAAACATGCAACTCAAACCTACGTAATGGCTGTAATTCAGGCATGGGGTGTTCCAAATGCGAAGTCAATGGGCAGATGGGCCTGAATTCATCACACAATGCCCGATTAGGCCAGGAAATAGCTATACCTACAGGTTCAATCTCACTGGACAAGTGGGAACACTGTGGTGGCATGCACATACTCAATGGATCCGGGCAACCGTTTATGGTGCTCTGGTCATCCGCCCACGAGACGGACAAAAATACCCTTTTGTTAAACCCTATCGTGAACAGACAATCCTCTTGGGTATGTGAATGTCTTATTTGATGCATATTTATTTGTAGGAATATGATCGTCTTTACTTTGTAATTTTAATATATATAATAAAACATTTCAGGAGAATGGTGGAATGGTAACGTTATCGATGTTGAGAACGCTGCACTAGCTACCGGAGTGGCACCTAACAATTCTGATGCATACACCATCAACGGGTGGCCCGGTGATTTGTATCCTTCTTGCCCATCAAATAGTAAGTAGCTAAATTAATTAACTTTCTCATGCTTATGGGTTTAATTTCTAGTTCTTTTTTTTTTAATTAACGATTTTTTGTTCGAATCAGAAACATACACGCTTCAAGTTGTCCCGGGCAAAACATATCTGTTGAGACTAATCAACGCTGCTCTCAATGGACAACTCTTCTTCAAGATAGCGAACCACAACTTGACAGTGGTTGGGGCAGATGCAGCCTACACAAACCCTTTCCAAACAGATGTGGTCGTCATGGGTCCAGGTCAAACCACCGATGTCCTATTGACTGCAAACCAATCACCGGGATTATATTACATGGCGGCGCGTCCATACCTTAGCGCAATCGCAGTGACGATCAATAACAGCACCACCACCGCGATCTTAGCTTACGAAAACGCCACACAAACAACACCAGTTCTTCCAGTCCTACCTGCTTTGAACGACACACCAACAGCTTTTAGATTTGAAAGCAACATGACTGCACTTGTCACTAGCCCTTTCTGGTCACCGGTTCCACAAACAGTCGACGAGAGCATGTATGTAACCATGGGACTCGGGATATCGGAGTGTGGAAACAACCAAACATGTGGAGGGATATTCGGGCAAAGAATGGCTGCAAGCATGAACAATCAATCATTTGTTCTACCATCAACGATCTCTATGTTGGAAGCTTTTTATAGAAACGTTAGTGGGATTTACACGACTGATTTCCCAGATCAACCACCGATTGTATTCGATTACACCAACACTACCCTTAGCTTCAATCAGGCTCTTATGACGACACCAAAGTCCACAAGTGTGAAGCAGCTGAAGTTTAATTCGACTGTTCAACTCGTGTTTCAGAACACAGCCTTGGTGGGTATTGAAAATCACCCCATGCATTTGCATGGAATGAACTTCTACATCTTGGCTCAAGGATTTGGCAATTATGATCCCATAAATGACCCACGAAAGTTTAATTTGGTTAACCCACTAGAACGGAACACGATTGGGGTTCCCACCGGTGGTTGGGCTGCCATAAGATTCCGAGCAAATAATCCAGGTGATCACCTCATCTCATGACTCATCATCTCGTCACAATTTGATTTATTATAAAATGTTGACCTTTTTCTGTATTTTCATTTTATTGACTGTTTCCTTACGTTATCTAGCATAATATAATCCAACACATGTTTCGGTGGAAATGATCTGGATTACAGAAAATATTTTATCTTAAAAAAAAAAAAAAAACGAATATGCTATGTTTGACTTATGCTTTATTGAAGCGACCATGCATGATTAGCTTATTTTCATCTAAATAAGCTGAATTTGCATACTTTAATAGAATTATCGAAAACTTTTCACCTTATTGACTTTTTTATTTGCTTTTTTTTTTTCAGGTGCTTGGTTTATTCACTGTCATTTGGATGTACACATGCCATGGGGACTAGGAACCGTTTTTTTGGTGGAAAACGGAGGAACACCGGAATCCACGTTGCCACCACCACCTGCCGACTTCCCTCGGTGCTAAAAACAGACGGCGAAGAATATCGGACGTAATTAAACTGTGCATAAAGGTGGATTTGCTTACATTTGTATGTAAGTACATGAGTATTCGATATTTGTTTTTTATCATTAATAAACCTGTAAGCCTATGACCGATTCTTTTTGTAGGCATGATGTGTAATGTTCTTTTTTTATATATGTATTGAGATTTGTTGTCATATTAAATTTTTGTATAAAATTCAAATCGCGTGTTGGATATGCGTTGAAAAGTTCCAATGGAATCAAATGAGCTTTTTTTCTTCTTTCTTTTGGTAAATATTCTATTCAGTCTTAAATAAATTGTAGCATGTCGGAGTTATTTTCTTAATGTCAAGATTGATACTTTTTTTTAAACCAAACATATATTATAAATGACTATTAACAAACTAGTGGAAACCACCTACAAAATTCAATAGCTAACATAAGGACTTTTAAACCAATCCATCCAACAAATATTCAACTTATAAGCGGCGTTGTGTTTCTCTTTGCTTAATAGATTTAATATATAAAAAAACTCAAAGGTTCAAAATATATATATATATATATATATATATATATATATATATATATATATATATATATATATATATATATATATATATATATATATATATATACTAGCAGCGTACCCGCGCAAAGCGGCGGGGTGTGTAAATTCTTTCGGTGATATGTTTCCTCTACAAAAATGTTATGTTACAAAAGAAAGTACATGTCGAAAACAAAATAATCAAACTATGGTGTTATTTGGGAGATGAAGTCATTTTTTGTTCCTAGACGGTGGGCTTTATAGCAGATGAGGGAACAAAGAGGTATATGCGATTGGAGGGATATTTGAATCAACATGCTAAATTTAAGGATATCTAAAAGGGTTCAAAATTTGAATGAATCCGGGATTTGAGGGAACAATATCAAATTGCTGAGAAATATAAGAAGATTTGATGATAAATATTTGAATTCAAAATGTGGTTAAGATTTAATATTATTTTATTAATGTTTACTTGTACTATCAGCTTCATTATTTGGACGTCTTAAAAAAATATTATTATTATAATCAATCTATTTTTAGAAATAGTTAGATTCCTTTTATAAGATAGTAAAGATATATATATATATATATATATATATATATATATATATATATATATATATATATATATATATATATATATATGATTGTTTCTGTTACTACACCACAAGAAATGGGGCATTAGTAGCGACGCATGACATTAGCGGCAACATGTAATTGACGCATTATATGTCGCTGCTAATGTCATGCATCGCTACTAATGGCCACCTTAATAGCAATCCGCGTCAAACAAGCCTCATCCGTTCGATTTATTTTCAATGCAAGGGTTGTAACGGAAATAAAATAAAAAAAAAGGCATTGATTTTTCCCTGCAAGGTGTCACCGTTAATACCAATCGCTGCTAAAGGCCTTTAAAGATAACCCCCCGCTTTAGCTTCCTTTCCTGTTTATCGTGCCTTCTCTTACCAATGAAACCTCTCAGCCGGCGACCAAGCGACTCCGACCATCTAACTCCCCCAACCGCAAGTTCCTTCCACAAGAACGCCATCATCGCCTACCAAACCTCCATTACCGGCAATCTAGTTGCACTTTCGAAATTTTGATGATTGAAGGTCGAATTTCTCCTCATTTTTATACTATTCTTCTGATTTGATGGTAATTTGGATGATGAATCTGTAGTATAATTCTAAGATTTTGTTTGGTTGGTGATTATATTTGTATTTTAAGGTATGGAAGTGCTTATGCATTTTTAGGGATTATATATGTTTTTTCATATTTATGCAACATTTTGTATATGCTTTTCAGATTTATGTTTATGCTCAATGTGGTTATTGGCTTGAAAATGAAATTAGGCATGAAATTGAAATTGGATATATATATATATATATATATATATATATATATATATATATATATATATATATATATGATTTTGTATTTAGATGTATACATTTGTATGAAATTAAAATTGGATGTCTAAAATGGAGGTGTTATTTGGTATGGTTGTATGAAATTGGATGTATTGCTTAATTGTTTGAAATTGAAATTTGAATTTGATGTATTGTATGCTTAATTGTATGAAATTGGAATATGAAAGCTATATTGTATGAAATTGGAATATGAAAGTTGTATTGCTTATTATGTCTATATTTTCTTGTAAATATGTCTCCAAAGACTTAATTTTGTTAGTGACCTAATTATATCAAATTGGAATATGAAAGTTATATTGCTTATTATCTCTTTATTTTCTTGTTAATATGCTTTCAATATGCTTAATTTTGTTATTGATTTAAAGTTGGTCATTACAACTTTAGCTTCATTAGGTTATTAATAGCAACATATTTTTAGTAATATTAAATTAATTATAAATTAAAGTTAAATATATTTCTAAAAAATCAATAAAAAATAATAAATTTATTGTAAATCAAGTTAAATTAGTCTTAAAATCAAGGTAAGATATATATTAAAATAAAATAAAATTAGTTTAAAAAATTAAACTAATAATAAAAAAGAAAATATTAAATTAATAAGAAAATAAAATTAGGTTAACTTTAAAATCAAATTAAATTAATTATAAAAACAAAAACATTAATCATAAAATCATATTAATATTAATATTAAAATTAAATTAAATTAATTATAAAATCAAATTAAAGTAAAAGAAAAACTAATAACAAAAAAGAAAGTATTAAATTTATTATAAAATTAAACTAAGTTAATTTTAAAATCGAAGTCCTTAATTATTTTAGTGACTTAATGTTGGTCATTACAACTTTATCTTAGTTAAGTTATTAATAGAAATGTACTTTTAGTAATTTTAAATTAATTTTAAAACAAAGTTAAATTAATTTTTTTTTAAATCAATAAAAAATAATAAATTAATTTTAAAATCAAATTAAATTAGTTTTAAAATCAAGTTAATATTAATATTAAAATAAATTAAAACTAGTTTAAAAAATTAAACTATTAACAATTAAGAAAGTATTAAATTAATTAGAAAATCGAATTAAGTTAACATTAAAATAAAATAAAATTAATTATAAAATCAAATTAATACTAATATTAAAAAAAATTAATTATAAAATCACATTAAAGTAATGTTAAAAAAAGCTAAAAAAATATAAAATATTAAATATATTATCAAATCAAATTAAGTTAATTTTAAAATCGAAGAGCTTAATTTTGTTAGTGACTTAATGTTGGTCATTACAACTTTAAGTTAATTTTGTTATTAATATCAACACACTTTTAGTAATTTTAAATTAATTATAAAATAAATTAAATTATATTTTAATAAATAAAATAATAAATTAATTGTAAAATCAAATTAAATTAGTTTTAAAATAAAGTTAATACTAATATTAAAATAAAAAAAATAGTTTAAAAAATTAAACTAATATCAAAAAAGAAAATATTAAATTAATTAGAAAATCAAATTAAGTTAACTTTAAAATTAAATTAAATTAATTATAAAATCAAATTTAATTAATTTTAAAATCAAATTAATATTAATATTAAAATCAAATCAAATTAATTACAAAATCAAATTAGATTAATGTTAAAAAACTGATATCAAAAAAAGAAAATATTAAATTAATTATAAAATCAAATTAAATAATTTTAAAATCAAAATGCTTAATTTTGTTAGTGACTTAATGTTGGTTATTACAACTTTAACTTAATTATGTTATTTATACCAATGTACTTTTAGCAATATTAAATTAATTATAAAATAAAGTTAAATTCATTTTTTAAAAATCAATAAAAAGAAATATTAAATTAATTGTAAAATAAAATTATGATGTTATAATTAACAAAAATCAATAAAAATAAAATATTAAATTAATTGTAAACCATAATATTATGTAACAGTAAATAAACAAGAGTATGATGTTATAATTAACAAAATTATGATAATTTTGTGAATTGTAACATTATACTTTTGTTTATTTTCTATCATAACATCGTACTTTAGTTTGAGTTTCTTCTTCCTAATCTTTAAGAGCCTAAAAATACCCGTCGCGCCTGAAATTGATTTAGAAATTAATTTCGAGATGTCCCCGTTTTGGGATTGTTTTTTTAATAATTTATCTCATTTAGGATGTGAACATGTATTTTATAATTATTTGTTTAAGAAAGATTCAGTTGTCATTTTCTCTTTGCTCCTCGGGTATATATATATATATATATATATATATATATATATATATATATATATGTGTGTGTGTGTATGTGTGTGTGTGTGTGCGTGCTTGGGAGCTAAAGGGAAATGCTACTGAATTTTTCTTAAACATAAAATCATGTAATACACGTTTACGTATGAGATAAGGTATTCAAAAAGTGGGTTTAGAAGCCTACCTTTATGAATACTCTATCTATTTTTGATTATTTGTTCATATGTTCCCGTGTTGGGGATACTTTTTTAATCATCGAATTTATGAATACTCTACTTGATTTTTGTTTCCCACAGAGTAAACTTTAAACACTAAACTATGTTTTAGTTGCATCATGTCTATTGATAAGAGCTGGACTTCTAATCAACATAGTCAATCTCCTGAGTTCCAGCTAGGACTTGACTCTTTTGTCAAGAGATCCACGTTAAACCTAGATTGTAAATGTGAAACCAGATGTTTGTGTGAGAAATGTGATAATCGTGACCTCAGGGATCCGAAAGCAATGAGATGTCATGTCCGTATATATGATTTCAGTCAGTCATACAAAACGTGGATATATCACGGTGAACCTTTAATTCCTCCAGTTGTAAATGTCGTATCGCCAAGTAACGAGATGGTTGATGTTATTAACGATGTTATGTGGGAGTCGGGAGAAAATGATACCAACCTCGATGAAGGAACCTTGAATACAGGAGTTAGCAGTGTCGATGATGATTTTAAGTAGTTGTTAGAAGCAGTCGAAACCAAGTTATATCTTGGTTGTACGTTTTCTTTCCTTGATTTTTTAGGAAAGTGATGCATATCAAGGTCAACAACAAATGGACAGATAGTTCATTTGATCAACTCCTTGAGTTGTTCCATTTAGCATTTCCACCGAACAACAAGGTTCCCCATTTAAATTATTTAGCCAAAAAGAAACTGAAGAAGTTAGGTTTTGGGTACGAGTCAATACATGTATGCAAAAATGATTGTTTTTCTCTTCTGGAAGGAACACAAGTTATTGCAAATT